TCAGAGAAAAAGGAACCCTCATGCACTGCTGGTGGGAATGCAGACTGTTGCAGCCACTATGGAAGACAGTATGGAGTTTCCTCAAAAAACTAAAAATGGAACTCCCATTTGACCCAGTAGTCCCACTTCTAGGAATATGTACCATGGAATCAGAAACACCAATCAGAAAGGAAATATGCACCCCTATGTTCATAGCAGCACAATTTACAATAGCTAAGTTTGGAAACAGCCTAAGTGTCCATCAGCAGATGAGTGGATTAAAAAACTGTGGTACATCCACAATGGAATTCTACGCTGCTGTAAAAAGAACGAACTCTTACCATTTGCAACAGCATTGATTGACCTGGAGAGCATTATGCTAAGCAAAATAAGCCAGTCAGAGAAAGATAAATACCACATGATCTCACTCATTTGTGGAATATAAAGAACAACATAAACTGATTAACAAAAATAGAGCCAGAGGGGAAAAAATATTTTAGAATATAATACAAGTAATCCTGTTATTTGCAGATTTTTAATATTTTCTACAACTTTTGTGATATTGTATTATGTTAGTACTGTTTGGGTAATATTATTATATTTAAAAATTTTTTTTCTTGGAATATTTTTAAAAAATCAATTTAAAAGGCTTTAAAAAAAGAAAAAGAATAAGGAACAAGAAAATCAGTATAGAGCCCAGAGTTGGCATGGCGTTCGGATACTGGCTTACTGGGCATGCTGCTTTTCTGGTCAAGCAATCCATTTACAGGGCCATAAAAGTTATCTAAGTTTTGGTTTGCTGACATGGCACCCTGGGCAGGAGCTGTTCCATCTTGGGCCTAGAAGTTTATAACAACACTATTAAATGAAAGACCAGCAGGTCAAAACCAGCAAAGCTGGTCCCACACAACCCACTCTTATCAAGAAGTCAAATAGCCTTACGAAAAGAAAAAAACATTCAATGTGAAACTATTCTGGAAACTGTACTCAGGATAAATGTGATATATTAAATAATAATAATGTGATGAAAGAAACCTATTTAAGTAATTCTAACTTATTTGATTGTATAATTCACACTCACCTAATTGAATGCTTAGAAAGTTATTTTTACAAGCATGAATTGGTAATATTCCTTTTAGAAACACTAAATAAAGAAAACAAAATTATCTTCCTAAAAATAAAGCACGTTGTCTTTCTCACCCTACAGATGACCCAATATCTCCCTACCTGGGGTGGCTGTTGACTATCACAGAGACCAAACAGCCACAGCCCTTACCAATGCCTTCTACTGGGGGATGCTGGGCCCCCCTGGTTGACTACCTCCCAGAAACCATCACCCCTCGGGGACCACTCCACAGGTGAGCAGCATGTACACATAGAGAGAAATGACCACTTAGTTTTGACTGGACTTTTCTCCCTAGAAGAGGGAAACCTGTTCCAGGTCCCATCACATGAAATAAACTTTGAAATCAGAGGGACCCTGCATGACTTGAATTGTAGCTCTCAGCACATTGGTAGAGTTTGGTCAAATGTTAACCAATGTGCAAAGCTGCCTTGTCATACTTACTTGATATAGGTCTTCATTTTTTATGAATTTTAGATTGTAAGCAAGTTGAAGAGAGGACTCTAGTCTTTTGTTTCTCATCATGACTCAGCTCTTATTACCTAGTAACAAGTGTGTTATGTAATTAGCTCAACTGATGTTTATTCTTATGGAGCTCTGTGCATTTTCAGAAGTTAAACTCCACTTCCCTGGAAGAAGGTTCTTACATAGTTCTTCAGCACAATTTACTAGTATGTGTTGTATTTAATTGTGACTTAATGATCTATACATGTATTTCCATTCTCTGTAGAAGTTGCATTAACTTTGTCATTTCATTGATTAGGTGCAATATTGCTGTGATTTTTATGACTGAGATGGTGGTAGATCACAGTGTAAGAGAAGACTGGGCTCTTCACCTGCCGTTATTACTTCATGCTGTCTTCTTAGGTAAGACTGGATCCAAGAGGAATTCTAGCCAATACATCTAAACTCTGTGGAGATAATTCAGAGAGCTTTCATTGTACATAGACATCTGCTTTCCTGCTCTAAAATTCAGTTGATCAGGCATTGTTTAAAACGGTCCTATGACTACAATATAAGTTGTGTGGCACCTCACTCATGTTATACCTATGAAAATATCTAAAACAAATTGGCCCTCCTTGAGGGTCTTTGTCTAGATATGATAATTTTTTAAAAATATATTTTTATTGATATCTGAGAGGAAGGGAGACGGAGAGATAAATAGAAACATCAATGATGAGAGAGAATCATTGATCCGCTGCCTCCTGCATGCCCCACACTGGGGATCAAGCCCTCAACCCGGGCATGTGACCTCACCGGGAATTGAACCCTGACCTCCTGGTTCTTAGGTCGTCCTGGTTCTTAAATCGATGCTCAACCACTGAGTCATGTTGGCCAGGCTAGATGTGATAAATTTAAAGCCATTAGACATAACTAGTGCATAGAGAGAAAGAATATAGAACGCAGCAGGCCACGCACTGAGATTGTAACCCAAGTTGTAGAGCAAAAATGGGAAGAGGAACAACCAGGCAGGGAGTTCAGTTATGGAGAGCCTCAAGAAGGAGGAATGCTAACTATCTCAAGAGGTCAAGGGAAATCCATCTATCATCATTTTATGAGAATATTTGATTTAAGGAATAAAATGTTTTATTTTTCCCTAAGCCCAAATTCTTTATGTTGGTACCATAAACAGTAACAAAGAAAAGTAAACATTCTTTTAAGATTTCCCTTCCCCCAGGTGTTAGGGGATCTTTACTATGCCTGGAATCTAAATGAGATTAAAAATTGTTTTTACTAAAAGATTCCACATTTTTTTCCAGGATTGGACCATTACCGGCCTGAAGTCTTTGAACACAGCAAAAATTTGCTTCTTCACCTCTTGATTGCACTGTCCTGCAACAGCAATTTCCATGCCATCGCCTCTGTGCTCCTGCAGACTCGAGAAATGGGGGAAACTAAGACTCTAACAGTCCAGCCAGCTTATCAACCCGAGTATCTCTACACAGGTAACAAAAGGAGGTGTGACTGAAAGTCTGAGACAGTCACAAATTCAGAGATTACCAAAGGTGTCAGTGGAGCCCATTTTTCCAAACTCTAATGCTCTTACCCCCCACCTTTCCAAGTAATAAAATAACAGCTCAATAAATAGGCCCTATTTCACTGGATGTCAACATGCCTCCCAAAATCCTTCTTTGTTATTGAGTATTTTCATGTATTTTTCCTTATTATTATGTTTCTGCTTTCATTAAATATGTTTCTGTCAATAAATTGAACATTAAAATATCCATTGAACAAGAGCTTTCATCTAAAACCCTGAAGGATGAGAACACAGAAAACGGTGACCTTCTCTATCACCTTGCGAGTGGTTCATTGCCAAGATGCCAGATATTTACTGTATTCCTTCTAGTTTCTCTGAAGAAAAAGTCACTTTATTAAATGACTGACTTTTCTGGAAAGCATGAATGAGTGAAAGTCTATTAAAAACCACTGCTGTTTTGAAACCAAATATTTCTTCTTAGAAATGAGAACAGAAAGCATTAGCTGAGTCAAAAAAAAATTACTCTGTTCTATCCAGCTGTTCATGAAAACTTTCCCAAAAGGATTAACCAATGGTTTTTATTTAGACCAGAATATTTTAAATATCTTAAAATGATGATGAACTAACAGAGTTCTTGGGCTACCTTTTTTATCTAATTATTTTGTACATTACACTGGCATTGGACATGGTATGGCATTTCATACGATGTTACCATGTACTTTCTTCATAATCTTGAAAATTGTACCTTTCATTCATCACTGGTATTCAGCACTGCCTTGTCTTCTGAGATATGTTAACATATGTCTTTGGAAAACTAATATGAAGTCATTAACTCTGAGGTAGAAGGACCACTGACCTGTTCATCATTGAATGCTTTCAAATATATTTTCCATATTATTATTATGTTTTATTATAAAGTCTTTATATTGAACACACTACACTTAATTGAAAATAATTCAGCAGCCTTTCAGAGACATTTTCAGAAAATTCTCTTTTCTTTAGATGCTTAATTTAAAGAATATGAAACATTCTGGCTGTTCTAACTCCCCAGGATAAAGATGTTTTCCATTAAGCACATGATTTTAGGCTGAGAAAATTGTAATGTCTGTTAAGTTGTGTATCTCTGAGTGTGGCAGTTTTATATCCACTATCCCACTGATGCAGCTTAAGTGGTTGAGAGTGGAGATTTACAAAACAAAACACAGAATCCATGGGCAAGACAAACAATAGATAACTGGAATGATTGAATCTGTAGCACACTTGAATTAGGTAAGTGCACAAAAGGTTTGGGAGGAGTCTCCTTTTCATAAATATTTATTGAACACCTTGTTTTAACTGTAGTTGTTTTCAAACCCACACTAAGAACTTGTGATAGAAATTGTCTTTATCTTATCATAATATAAAACTGAGGTACAGAGAAATCATATCAACTTCCTGAGATTTTAAAGTAAATGGCAGAGATGATATTCAGACCCAGGCTCCTACTCCTAATTCAATATTTTTGTCAGACACACCAGAACTATGTACTTTTTATGATTTTTAAGTAGAGGGAAATGTGTGTAAGTTTTCAAACCCACAACACATTTAGAGATGTAGAATGTTAACCAAATACAAAGTGGGGAAAAATCACTAGTATTTTCTTATACCATATGGCTTTGACTAATATGATATATACTTTGTTAAAACAATTAACATACACTAAATATTTGTGATTCTAGGCACATTTACTCAAAAAGATGATGTATAACTTACTCATAATCCCTTATGTAACTGGTATCCTCAAAAATTATATCATTGTATCAGTCTAGTATCCAGGCATAATTTATTAACAGCAGTTAGGTACAGATGTATAGTGGAACACAAACACACAACTTCTTTTTCAGAAAGCATAAATTAAAACCCCATAGTAGAAATTTATTTATTAAATAGAAATTTTCTATTCTCCTATTACTAAATGCACTCTGATTTATACAGAAGTGTAACTATTCCATAAGTAAGGAAAGAATATATGTCTCTTTTTAATCATAGCTATAGCCAAAATAAAATGTTTTCTCAAAAAAAAAAATGAGATAACTGCATACTTCTGTATGTTCACCTCCTGACCTCATTATGTGCCCTGCCCAGCGCAACTCCCCTTGACCTTCTTCTCAACCAGGTGGCTTTGACTTCCTGAGGGAGGACCAGTCATCACCAGTGCCAGACTCGGGGCTGAGCTCCAGTTCCACCTCTTCCAGCATCAGTCTGGGAGGCAGCAGCGGGAACCTCCCACAGATGTCCCAAGAGGTAGAAGACGTAGACACCACTGCTGAAACAGATGAGAAGGCCAACAAGCTCATTGAGTTCCTGACAACCAGGTAAGGAGGGCAAGGAGACAAGCGGCTGTTTTCAGGTGAGTTTTTTTTAGAAAATGCCGTCCTTCAAAACCACTCAGATGGAAAAGTGAGCCCAGAGCTCTAGCAAAGTCCTTGTTTTCTCCTCTAAATTGCACTTGCTGGAGTCTGTGTATAAAGCAGACACTGGTAGAAGGTGTTTAAGATCCCTCTGATGTCAACATTTATGGGGAGAGATAGTTTTTGTATAGTGACAGTGCAGCAGATGGTGTCGGATATGGTAGCGCCCCTCAGTGAGCATGATTTTGTTCATCTGTTAGAGCTGCCAGGATCTGGGAGCCCTGAAACTTGGCAAATAACCTCACTCTGGAAGCCAAAGGTATCAGCCACCGTTGACCCAGAAGCAGCTGCAGAAGGATCCAGGGTCTGCTCATCCAGTCCAAAGAGTCATTTATAAATGGAAGTCAGAAACCAGAAACAGTAGGAAACATGATAGGAAAGGAACCAAACAAATAATATATCAAAATCAAGAAAAAGTGGGCGTAATCCACGTTTGTAGGTCTTCTGGTTCTTCTAATGAACAATTTTGTTTCAGAATTTCTACTACCCCAATGTCAGGCATTTGTATAAAAGCATGCTCACATGTGACCTGGGCGTACTCTTGTGTTGGGAGTCTAGTCTCAGTTTGTGTTATCTGATATTTCCCATTATTTTTCTTTCTTTAACTAATGCACCAAATAATGAAAAACAGAGCATTTTCTTTCCTTTGTTAATGGATCAGGGCATTCTGCATAGCTAGCTATCAGCTCCATGTGGGATTTAATGTTCAGGAAACAGGAAAGGGCTGATGGTGCCCACACACGAGGTACTTCAGACACCTGAATGCTTTGTTGTCTTCTCTCACCATTGTCAATGCCATGTGTTGGGAAGGGTGTTCTCCAAAATTCTCACCTCTGGCTCCATCCTATTCTTACTACCGAAAAACAAGTAAACAACAGAGACCGTATCTTCAATTTGGTGATGTGGGAAGCCACCATTTGCCAACACTGTCATGAGCGTGCACCAAGGAACGCAGAGGCGGATGGATCTTGAGCGTTAGCAGGGCTTATGCTAGGCACCTATTGTTCGTGTTGAGATAGCGGTGGCTCCAAGCAATCTCCTGACCTGATAGCCTCCAAGTAAATGTTTACTGGACCTTACTGATCTTTACTGACCTTTGAGGCTGTCTGTCTGCTACGTGCTTGCCGTGCTTTACTGAGGGCAAGATGTGTATCTAAAACTGAATAAAAAGTGAACAAGGCCGAGACTCGGGTGTCTCTTCAAGAAAGAGGCTCCACCTGGCTCCCACCCCTTAATAATTCATATTTTTGTCAAGCATTTTCATTTGTGCGTCGGCCCCTCCTGCAGATCCTGAACCTTGCCGTGCAGGTCGCGGCAGTTTCCACAGTATTCAGCAACCTAATGATGTGATCCTGATAAAAGCATTATCTTCCCAAATGCTGAATGTGCAATTGAGTCTGTGTCTACATCTATATTGTATTTACAATTGTATATGTCGTTTTATTGAACAAACACCCATGGAACATCTATCATGTGACAAACACTTCTGGCGAATTGAAAGGTTTTTGTTTTGTGTTTAAATGTTATGAGGTTTTGGTTTTGTGAGTAAAATATTTTAAAAAGTGTCTCTATAAATTAGCCAGATCTGTTTGAGTATGCTCATAAACTTTATAAGACTGAAATTCTCCCCCAAATTAGTGAAATTTTAAACATATATATTGTGCCTTTGGAATTAGAACTGCATAGATGGTTTTCAAAATGCAAAGTGACATTTATATTTTTGACACTGTGTGTGCTTTGTTTCAGGGCATTCGGTCCACTTTGGTGCCATGAAGACATCACACCCAAAAATCAAAATTCAAAGAGTGCCGAACAACTCACAAACTTTCTACGGCACGTTTTGTCCGTATTTAAAGATTCTAAATCAGGTACTTCCTCCTGTTTCCCCAACTCCATTCCACTTTCAGGACTTTTTTTATAATTGAGCTCATTCTTCACCCATATGACTACACTATATATCATAGATAGTATATATCAGAATTCATACTATATACATATATCGCACTATATTTATGATATGTGATATGAATGATATATATTGTATATATTTCTGAATTTGGCATCTATAGCAGAAGACTATTCATAGGGGAGTTTTGAAATTTATTTCAGATGTGCTTGACTGATACTGTCATGTATACTTGCATTATACTCTATCAAATAACATCCTCAAAGTCACTGTTCTCCTCACATCATTCCCTCACTAGAATGAACTATGCCCACAATATTAATTTTATTTAAAGAAGGCCATGAGAAATAATTCTTATTAATTTATTTGGCATAGACTCAACTGTGAGAAGTTGTCAACCTTCAAACTGTGTAAAAAAAAGAATTTTGTGATAAAATGTTTTTTACTTTAAAAATAGTTGCTAACAATTTAATTGAATATTCTAAATCCAGTGTGATTGTTAGACTATAAGAGCATCTAACTATCACACTGGATTTGCTCTTCAATAAGAGCATCATATTGAAGCCATTAGCTAAATTCCATTTGAATTCAAGTTGGCCTGGGCTGATCTGTGTGTGAAATTTAAATGTGGTCTTTCAGCTCAATGCAACAACTGTTCCTATCTTTGTCATATACCTGGCTGAACGCATTAACCGTGGCTTACTGGCTGCTCTGATAATTAGCACGTGTCACAATTTGAAACATTCCAGATTAGCCATATTTCTTTTTGTTATCAGGGGATACTTATTTTAAAAAGCAAAAATAATAATACACAGAAAGTCATTACAGGAACAGGACGACTTGACTTCCAGTCTTGAGTTTCCCCTTTGGAATTTCTTTGAAATAAGAAGACCTCTTCTCTTGGTATTTTCCTCATTTAAAAGTTACTTTAAATTGCACATAGCACAAAGGAAGAAATTTACTGTTGTATGTGAACTATTTATTTATCTAAAACCCTTAACTGTATGACGTTAATAAAAATGAGAACACATATGAATGAATGCCTTGCACTTTATTCTTGGCAGGTGTATTTTCACACCTTACCCAACATATCCTTACCCACTAAAATTTCCTTCTACATCGCTGCCTATTTCTGCTATAGCACAATAAAATGTATTCCTGAAAACATTTGTATTAGTCAGGGTAGCATAGCTGCTGAAATAAAAACCTCCCAGAGCTCAAACACTTAACACAATTGGTTATTTCTGGTCACATAACAATTCAGTGTGGATGTTGGGCAGGAGGCCTTCCACCTGGTGGTCAGAGACTCTCCAGCCTGTGGCTCTGCTACCTGGAGAGGAAGAGAGAGTGAGGGATTAAGCAGAGGAGTTCACACTCCAGTCCAGTGCTTCTTCCCACATCCCACTGGCTAGAACTCAGGTACAAGGTCACACCTAACTGCAAGGAAGGCTGGAAGATGTAGATTCATGTGTGACCGGGGAGATGCCACACACTAAATAGGTTTTCTTAAAAGCCATTGTCATATGGGTAGTGGAGTCTGCAGTCCTCCTAAGAGAGGACTTGTGTTTAGTCTTCAGCTCATGATAATTTAAATAAGATTCTGTTCACTGCCATGGAGCTAGCCTGTCTATAAAATGGTTTAAGTAAAAAAACATATTTCAAAAAACAAAATAAAGACATAAAGAACAATTTTGAAACATGACCCATTCATATGTTGTGACGTGCCTCTGGGTTTAACCCTGCATTTCCGACCCTGGATTTGCTTGAGTCCACTTCCCAGGACCCTTCGTTTACTTTGCAGGAACATTTTTTTTATATTGTCAACATGTCCCTGGGTTCAAGCAGCCAAGTGAAACTAAGAAGAATAACACTGAATTATCACCCCTGTTCCACTTTCACGTCACCATCAAATGTGCCACAGAGCTCTCCAGGTCATGGAAACAGCTAAAATCACTGTTTACATCATGTGCTCTAACTCTTGGAGCCTGGTTTTCTCCCTGCAGAGAGGCAGGGCCCTTGTATAATGTAATATCCCAGACATTAATTATGAGCTTTTCCTCACATTTTAATTTCCATCTGGTCAAATGGTTTTCTGATGACTAAGATTCCTTCCATGTTATTGAAAGAACACATATTCTGGTGGAGGTTTACTGTGGCTGCCTTCTCTGCAGTGTCCACATTTCTCTATCTGAGTACTTACAGACCATGCTGAGGAGCAAAGACTTGGGTCCAGGCCTCAGTTGTGTTTAGACTTGACTAGATTCACTAATAGCTTCCTCTACATACATAAGTACTCAGAACATTTGTTTCTAACAAGTTGTCTTATTTTTAAAAAAAGGAGTAAAAATATCTCATGTAAAAAGTAGTACAGAACAATAATGTGAAAAAATAGCAGGGTAATAAATAGCAATACACTTGTGAACACGTATCTGTCACATACTGTACTAAGCACTTTTAAAGTTGTTTAATTTCCATAAAACTTCTATGAGATAGATGCTTTTATTCATAAGTTAAAGATAAGGGAATAGGCAATAGAGAATAAGTTTCTTTCTGAGTCTGAAAACTTCTAGTTCAAAATCAGAACCATCTTTTTCTACTACACTATACTCCTTAAGATTTATTAAAATTTATGTGTTTGTTTTTTTAATTGTTAATTTTTAAATAAGTACCACCAGGACATAGCCCTGTGCAGTGAACCTGTTTCAAACCTTCAGATAACTACTGTTGCCCCAGACTTTGCAGAATGACAGCTGATCTGGTCTCTGGCCTCTTGGTGCCCTAGGCTTCCGTCTGGAGCAACACTTGAGTGAGGTTGCATTGCAGACAGCCCTGGCAAGTTCTTCAAGGCACTATGCCTGTCGGTCCTTCCAGATATTCCGGGCAATCAAACAACCTCTGTCAGCGCATGCCTTGTCTGACCTTCTCTCCAGACTGGTGGAGGTGATCGGAGAACATGGCGATGAGATTCAGGTAGGGAAGGAAAGAATACCAAACACATCCTGTTTCTCACATTTTAAAGAGAAGGAGCTAATGACTTTCTCAAAACCTTGTCTCTCTTGCCAATTATTCCAGCACTTTGGACATGTACAATTCAAATTTTAGAGGTTGGCTTTTATATTTACAAAAGTCATTCCCAGAAGTATTGTTCTAGAAACTCCACATATGTTATCTGTTTATTCAAGCTAACAACTGAACATTCTTTGGTGACTCTTCTTTGTTGTTTTATTATTTGTTTTATTTGGTAGAGGACAGGAAAATTTGTGTTGTTTTTGTCATTTTTTCACTAACATAGGACATAGTTGTGCAATCCCCCCACCTAGAGGAGATCTCCGTTGTATCTGTGTAAAGCACTACCTTTCTCTGCATGATCAGCCTTCAGTAAACTGGAAGAGCTGAAGAAGTAATGGAGAGAGTAGATGCCACAAGAAGACCCTCTAGAGCCCAGAGATTGGGGCCTGGGCAGGTTGAAAGCAAGAGAATTACCTGCTCTGTAACTTGGGCCAAGCCTTCTTTTCCATCAGAAATTTATCTACATCTAAGGAGGCCTGCACGCCTATAGACCCTAGTTTATTTTCCTCCTCCTGGCCATGAGATGAGCTGTTTAAAATGCCCCTGATGCCCAGCCATAGCATACATCTCTTAATCTCTGCTTCAGGCATTGCAACTCTATATTCAAATGCCCTCCATGTGTCTGACACCTTCAGCCTTGTCCCCTCCCTGTTAGATTTCAAATGAGATTGCTCTGTGGAGGAGCTCAGACCTAGGAAAATAAATCTTTATAATTATCTGCTAACTCCTGGGCCAGCTGAATTCCTCAGTGGCCCTTAAAATTTGTTTTAAACTTTGTAAATTAAAGTAATAATAACTCTCTAGTTTTTAATGATATTAAAATTACTTTAATAAAGTTTGCATTCATTAAATTTATGTCCAAGAAGTTAACAGCAGTTACAAGCTGTCCAAAATGTTGTCTCTGCATCTTTGGCAGGGTTACGTAATGGAAGCACTCCTGACTTTGGAATCTGCCGTGGATAACTTGTCTGACTGCTTGAAGAACAGTGATCTCTTAACTGTATTATCTCGGTGAGAGCCAGCTTAATGACATTTTTAAATCAAATATACTGTGCTAGATATTTGGGAAATGACCAGACTTTGGGCAAAGTCCAAAGAATAAATCTAGTTTTTGAAATCTATTGATGACCTGAAAAAGTATGTATGACATTGTCTTAAGTTAAAAAAAAAAAAAGCGGGGGGTAGGGGGGAATCACACACACACACACACACACACACTCACACACATTATAAAAGTATTTTAAAATACCAGGAAGATAGATAGCAAATGTTATTTCTAAATAATACAAATAACGATTTTTCATTTTCTTTTTATGTCTTTGAGTATTTTTCAAATTTTATATAATATTTCCTATTACATTGTAAACAGAAACTAAAACTAAATATTATTTAAAATGAATATGCACAAAACTTCATCTGAACCATCACTATAAAAACAGTTGAATAAATGTTGATTTTACTTGCAGAATTTCTACCTTAGGATCTTTTTTATTTTTTAATTCCTTTGTTCCTGCTAGTATTTAATAACCAGTTTCAGATCATTCACAATTCCATATTCTGCTCGTATCATTGAGTTCCTTGTGCTTTGAAACTGAGTCAGTAACATTATATCTCATTGGGCCTTGTTTCATTGTTGAGTATTTTTTATGGATAGGTAAGCTTAATGTGATTACTAACATAATATATATGTTAGTACAGCTTCATCTAAATCAGAAAAATTTACCAGAATGTTGATAAAGAATTTTACTTTTCAGCCTGAAATAAGCTTTGAAATCATTTTTCATAAATTAAGTACAAAAAACTTCCTTTGGTACAAATATGTACTATTTTCTTTCTTGATAATATGTTCATGTCTATTCTTAACAGTCAGTTAATAGAATATTAAAGTTTGTACATTTTATTTCATAATTATTTCTACCCAAATTCAAATAAACAAAAAAAGAAGATCAGTAAACTTTGGCCAACTGCTTCTATCTTTAACCTATCAGTAAATGGAAGTTAGTATTGGGTTTTGTTGTTGTTTTGTCGGTGTGATGTTTGATTTTCTTGTTAAGGTTGTTAAGTTTTCTTTTTCATCATTTTAAGTTTAAGAAAATTTATTCCTTTAAGTTTAAGAGTATGGGCAAAAAAGTAGTATTTCCAAAGAATGATTTTCCTCCCTTATTATTCATCAGTGGATCTTCACTGAAGCATGTTGGTTTCTCCTGAACATGTTTTTTTGAGAGCCATTTTTAAAAAATATATTTTTCATTATTGATAGTATTACAGATAACTCCCATTTCCCCCCGTTTTCCCCGTCCTCCCAGCCCCTACCCAACCCCCAGATCCTCACTACCCTATTGGCCATGTCCATGGGCTATGCATATAAGTTCTTTGGTTTCTCTCTTCTCATCCCCCCAACCCCAAGGTATTTCAGTCTGTTCCATGCCTCCATGCTTCAGGTCTTATTGTGTTGGTCATTTTGTTCATTAGATTCCACAAATAAGTGAGATCATGTGATATTTGTCTTTCTCAATTTGGCTTATTTCACTTAGCATACTATTTTCCAGTCCATCCATGGGTGAGAAACCCCTCTTTTTTACAGTTGCATAGTATTCCATAGTGCAAATGTCCCACAGCTTTTTTATCCATTCATCTACTGAAGCGCACTTGGGCTGTTTCCAAATCTTGGCTATTATAAATAATGTTGCTATGAACATGCAGGTACATTTATTCTTTCTGATTGGTGTTTCAGGGTTTTTAGGATATATTCCCAGAAGTGGGATCATTGGGACAAACAGAAGTTCCATTTTTAATTTTTTGAGGAAACTCCATACTGTTTTCCATAGTGGCTATACAAATCTACATTCCTACCAGCAGTGAACTAGTGTTCCCTTTTCTCCACATCAGCACTTGTTATTTGTTGAATTTTTTATGATAGCCATTCTGACAGGCATGAGGTGATATCTCATTGTGGTTTTATTTGCATTTCTCTGATGATTAGTGACTTTGAGCATTTTTTTATATGTCTCTTGGCCATCTGTATGTCCTCTTTAGAGAAATGTCTATTCAGGTCTTCTGCCCATTTCTTATTTGGATTGTCTTCCTTTTACTGAGTTGTATGAGTACTTTATATATTTTGGATATTAATCCCTTATCAGATGTATCATTGGCAACTATGTTCTCCCATACAGTGGGTTCCCTTTTCATTTTGATAGTGGTTTCTTTTGCTGGGCAGAAGCTTTTTATTTTGATATAGTCCCATTTGTTTATTTTCTCCTTAGTTTCCTTTGCCCCAGGAGATGTATCCGTAAACATATTGCTATGTGAGATGTCTGAGATTTTACTGCCTATGTTTTCCTCTAAGATTTTTATGGTTTCCCATCTTACATATAAGTATTTTATCCATCTTGAGTTTATTCTTGTGTATGGTGTAAGTTGGTGGTCTAGTTTCATCTTTTTGCATGTGTTTGTACAGTTTTCCCAGCACCATTTGTTGAAGAGACTGTCTTGACTCCATTGTATGTTCTTGCCTCCTTTGTCAAATATTAATTGACCATAATGGTGTGGGTCAATTTCTGCAGTCTCTGTTCTGATTCATTGTTCTTGTGCCAGTACCAGACTGTTTTGGTTATAATGGCTTTGTAATAAGCTTGATATCTGGTATTGTGATCCATTCAACTTTGTTCTCCTTTCTTGAAATTGCTACAGCTATTCAGGGTCTTTTATGTTTGCATATAAATTTTTGGAGTATTTGTTCTAGAACTGTGAAATATGCTGTTGGTATTTTAATAAGGATTACATTGAATCTGTATATTGCCTTGGGTGGTATGGATGAATAAGCCAAATTGAGAAAGAGAATTTAATGATGTTAATTCTTCCATGAACATGGTATATGCTTCCATTTGTTTGTATCATCCTCTATTTATTTTATCAATGTCCTATCATTTTCCAAGTACAGGTCTTTTGCTTCCTTGGTTAAGTTTATTCATAGGTATCTTTTTTTGTTGTTGCAATGATAAACGGGGTTGCTTTTTTAGTTTCTCTTTCTGAGAGTTTATTAGTGTATAAAAATGTTATTGATTTCTGGATGTTGATTTTGTATCCTGCTACCTTACCAAATTCCTTTATTAAGTCTAGTAGTTTTCTGGTAGAGTTTTTAGGGTTTTCTATGTACAATATCATGTCATCTGTGAATAATAACAGTTTTACTTCCTCCTTTACAATGTGGGTGCCTTTTTTTTCTTCTTCTTGTCTGATCACTGTGGCTAGGATTTTTCAGTACTATCCTATATAATAAAAGCCTAATATGCACAGTGTCCAGTTGTCCAGTTAGCCGTTCAACCAATCAAAGCATAATATGCTAATGATATGGTAAGGCTGCTCAATTGTTCACTATGATGTGCACTGACTACCAGGGGGCAGACAGTCGACCAGTCGCTATGATGTGCACTGACACCAGGGGGCAAACACTCTGACCAGTATCTTGCTGCTGGGGTCTGGCTGATCAAAACTGAGCAAGACAGGCCTGACATGTCCTGGAGCCCTTCCGTGGTCCCTCCCTGGCTGTCCAACCTTCTGCATCTCTCCCTAGCCCTGATTGTACACCAGTGGGGTCCCTCGGCCTGGCCTGCACCCTCTCACAATCCGGGACCCCTTGGTGGATGTCAGAGAGCTGGTTTCAGCCCAATCCTGCAGACCAGGCCAAGGGACCCCACTGGTGCACAAATTTGTGCACCGGGCCTCTAGTGTTGAATAAGAGTGGTGAAAGTGGACTTTCCTGTCTTGTTCCTGTTCTTAGGGGAAATGGTTTTAGGTTTTGCCCATTGAATATGATTTTGGCTATAAATCTGTCATATATGGCCTTTATTATGTTGACGTATGATCCCTCTATTCCCACTTTGCTGAGATTTTTTATCAAAAAAAAAGGGTGTTGGATTTTGTCAAATGCTTTTTCGGCATCAATTAATGTGATTTTTGTCATCCAGTTTGTTTATATGATGTATCACATTTATTGATTTGCGAATACTGTACCAGCCTTGCATCCCCAGAATAAATCCCACTTGGTCATGGTGTGTGATCTTTTTAATGTATTGCTGGATCTGATTTGCTAATATTTTGTAGAGGATTTTAGCATCTGTGTTTATCAGGGATATTTGCTTGTAATTCTCTTTCTTTGTAGTGTCTTTATCTGGTTTTGGAATTAGGCTAATGCTAGCCTTGTAAAAAGAGGTTGGAAGTGTTCCTTACTCTTGGATTTTTTGGAATAGCTTGAGTAGGATAGGTGTTAGTTCTTTGAATGTTTGGTAAAACTCCCCTATGCAGTGATCCAGACCAGGGCTTTTGTTTTCTGTGAGTTTTTGTTTTTTATTTCTGCTTCAATTTCATCAGTAGTTATCAGCCTATTCAGGTTTTCTGACTCAGTATTGGAAGATTGTATGTTTTCAGAATTTTGTCCATTTCATCCAGGTTGTCCATTTTGTTGGGGAAAAGTTGTTCATAGTATTTGCTTACAATCCTTTGTATTTCTGTGGTGTCCATTGTTATATTGCCTTTTACTTTTCTGATTTTATTTATTTGGGTCATCTTTCTTTGTTTCTTGATGAGTCTGACTAAAGGTTCATCAATCATCAATCTTGTTTATCTTTTCAAAGAACCAGCTCTTGGATTTATTGATCTTTTGTACTGTTTTTTAGTCTCTGTATCATTTATTTCCACTCTGATCTTTATTATATCCTCCCTTCTACTTTCTCTGGGTTTTTCTTACTGTTCTCTTTCATTTAGTTGTAGGGTTAGATAGTTTACTAGTCCTTTTCCTTGTTTCTTGAGTTGGCCTGTAGTGCTATGAACTTCCCTCTCAGAACTGCTTTTGCATGTCCTACAGGGTTTGTTGTGTGTTCATTTTCATTTGTTTCCAGGAAGTTTTTAATTTCTCCTTTGGTCTCTTTTGTGACCCATTTATTGTTTAATAACATGATATTTAGCCTCCATGTGTTTTTTGAGGTTTGTTTTTTTTTTTATTGTAGTTGATTTCTAACTTCATGCTATTGTGATCTGAGAAAATGCTTGGTATTATATCAATCTTCTTGAATTTGTATAGACTTGTTTTGTGTCCTAACATGTGGTCTATCTTTGAGAATGTTCCATGTATGCTTGAGAAGAATGTATATTCTGTTGTTTTGGGGTTAAAGGGTCTATAAATTTTGGTTAGATCCATCTGATCTAGTGTGAACATTTTTATTTTTATACCCAGTTCTTCATCACCAGATTTAAGCTCTAGCAGTAAACTTACAGCAAGCAGAAAGAGCACAGGACAACTAAATGTGAACCCTGGAACAAGTAGTGGCAACACAGCAACTGCAGAACGGAGCCGGCATCAGAGAAGTTTCTCTGTGCCCAAGAAGTTTGGTGTTATCGACCGATCCTCAGACCCACCTCGGAGTGCCACACTGGACAGAATTCAGGCTTGTACCCAGCAAGGTCTCTCCTCAAAAACCAGGAGCTCATCCTCCTTGAAGGACAGCCTCACAGACCCATCACACATAAACCATCCAACCAACCTGTTGGCCACCATCTTTTGGGTCACAGTGGCCTTGATGGAATCTGATTTTGAGTTTGAATACCTCATGGCCTTAAGGCTGTTGAACAGACTTCTGGCTCACATGCCACTCGATAAAGCTGAGAATCGAGAAAAACTTGAGAAACTCCAGGCACAGCTCAAGTGGTCAGACTTCTCAGGGTTACAGCAGCTGCTGCTGAAAGGGTTCACCTCCCTCACCACCACAGACCTGACCCAGCAGCTTTTCAGTTTGCTGACACCAGTGTCCAAAGTATCCATGGTGGACTCATCCCAAGCCATCGGTAAAGCAAATACACTCCCTATCTTACAAGTCTGGTATTTAGGCCCATGTTTAGCTGATAAGAAATTATGGGCTTACTGCTTTTAGCAGCTCTGCTTAGAAACAGTTTGTTGGGACTAGTTTGTTTTACCTTTTAAAATTTTATATAATGTAAGTCATAATTATTTATATTTTAGAAGATATTTTTAAGGCAATAGTATAAAAGGGCAGAAGAAATACATATGCTATCAGAAATTTCTTTATTATTTCCATATCAAATTGCAAATACTGCAGTTTATTCCATTGCTCTTGTACATATATTATTTCCCTTTTTTTAAACTCCTAAGTCTTTTATTTTTCTTAGATTTTCTTTCCTCTTGAGAACTCTCTTGAATTAAGCCAAATCAACAAATTAAATTTTTAAAAAATTTTTTTTATTGATTTTAGAAAGAGAGGAAGGGAGAGGGAGAGAGAAACATTGATCAGCTGCCTCCTGCACGCCCCTACTGGGCATAGAGCCTGCAACTCAAGCATGTGCCCCAACTGGGAATCAAACAGGCAACCTTCCTGTGCATGAGATGATGCTCAACCAACTGAGCCACAACGGCCATTGCAACAGACTAGATTTTTAATACTATGACATGTGGTCCAGGATTCTTTTCATGGAGCTAGAGGTTATCACAGTGGTGCTAAGCGAATCCTCAACATTTTAAAGAGCCTTTTTGATTACATGAATGAAACTTAAGTGATTCACCTATGTCCTTTTATACAAGTTTTCCCTAAGCTATGTTTTCTGATAAAGTTTCAAACCAGGGCTTCCATTCATTTTATTCTGCTTTTTAAGTTTTTGGTTGTACATTTTCCCCAGATTTTGTTAGATCATATTAAAGCTGCTTCAAAAGACTGTATTTGCATGGCCTCAAAATGAAATCTGTAATGTGCTTTCCCACTGTTAATAGCCAAAATGCACCATATTCAGCCATCTCCATTGTGTCCTCTCTAACCCAGGATTTCCTTTGAATGTCCTGTGTCTCCTGCCCCAGCTGATTCAGCACTTTGAAAACCCAAACCAGTTCTGTAAGGATATAGCCAACAGGATTGCTCAGGTATGGCTTACAGTTCTGCTCAGACAGACCCATTCAGGCCTCCCAGAAGGCCCAGTGTTGGAAAGTACCAGGCTTGGACATGGCAATGAGTTTCACAAAACCCGAAAATAATAACTGATAGTGCTCATCAACTTCCTGGGTGGCTGATACATACTCTCTTTTGGTTTCATTATTGAAAAACCAAGTAGAAAGAATTTGTGAAAATTATATTACTAAGATAAGCACTTCCACAGCCTATAAAAAGTGTGTGTGTGTGTGTGTGTATGTGTGTGTGTGTGTGTGTGTGTGTGTGTGTGTGTGTGTGTGTGTGAGAGAGAGAGAGAGAGAGAGAGAGAGATCTGATTTCCTGACTGCTGGGACTGATACTGAAATTGCTGGCATTTCTTCCTATTCATCGGGCCATTTTATCCCTGATTGATTTTCCTCTCCTTAAGGTTTGTTTGGAAGAGAAGAATCCCAAACTTTCCAATCTTGCACATGTCATGACTCTTTATAAAACACACAGCTATACAAGGGACTGTGCCACCTGGGTCAACGTGGTCTGCCGGTACCTTCATGAAGCATATGCTGACATCACCTTGAACATGGTTACCTACCTGGCAGAGGTAAGCTCTTCAATTAAGGATAAAATTCATTAGGAACCAGAGAGGAGGGAGCCCAATTCCGAGGTGCGTCACCCAAGAACTGCCCCCTTGCAATCCAGGACCCCTCACAGGATGTCGGCGAGCCGGTTTAGGCCTGATCCCCACAGGCCAGGCCGAGGGACCCCACCTGCTGGAGGGACCCCGCTCACTCTGCAGATGCCCTTCATGCTGCAGCACTGCCCCAGGTGCGGCCGGGGAGGGGCCACGGGAGGTTTGGCCCATCTCTCCCAGTCCCGCCCCGCTGGCCACCTTCTAATTAATTTCCTTTCAATGTGCATGAATCCGTGTACCGGGTCACTATTTATTATAATAAAGACTATAGATGCCCCCACAGCTTAAATTCTTAATATTGCACTAACACCTGTCAGCACATGGCAACAAAGAAAACTTTATCCTAATTACTTGCAGTGTTCAAATCTTATTTAAGAAGTCAGTATGTGGTTTGATATGTTTAATGATTCACAAAGCATACATTTTGAAATAAACTTTTTATCTTCACCTCTTATGTTTGCTTTTAAAAATGGAATGGGATTTTTGTCCTCCTACAAATGTGTTTCTACTCTGATTTTGGTGCACATTGGTGTTAGGAATACACAGTATATGGGACAAGGGATGACATGTATTCTGTTTAGCAGCTCCAGTGCACAAGGTCAGGAACTCTGTGAGGAAATGACTGAAAGCAACTCCTTGTTTAGCATTTTCAGTATTGCTTTTCATTTGGGGACATGCATTTGTACCTCTGCCAGGGCCTTGTCAGAAGTGGTGAGGACAGCCCATTCTAACTTTAGTTATGTCACTCACTCAGAGTCCAGATAGGTTAAAGAATCAATCACTTTCTGAAAGGCTCCACAGGACTGAAGGCCTCTGCCTAGAAGAGGGTAGTTGTTTCTTAATTTATTGTTGATCCTGAAGAATTTTGATTTGTGATATGTGTCCAAAATATGTAATTTGTACTAAGCTGTCAACAACCCTGATTCATTTGCTCATCTCCTCCCATCCCTGGCACTCATAAGTGCCACCTGGCTGCTTCTGATTATCACCTTGGTCACATCTGTCCCCACAAGAGTTACTAAGCCAGCACATGCACACCTCAGATTACAGGAGTACAGGATAACCCATGCAAATGTCCTGCTTACAAAGGCAGATGGTGCCTGTCTTTACAAAGGTGACATGTGAAGTAGCAAGGAGACAAACTTATTTAGATTGCTAGACATAAAAGTTTCAAAAATATAAAAGAGATGTGATATATCCATACAAAGGAATATTGAGATTTAAAAAGGAATGAAATACTGACACCTGCTACAACATAGATGAACCTTGAAACCATTATACTCAATGAAATAAGCCAGGCACAAAAGGACAAATATTACATGATTCCACTTATATGAAGTATGTAGAATAGGCAAATTTATAGAGACAAAAAGTAGAATAGTGGTTACCAGAGGTTGGGGCCAGGAGTTGATGAAGAGTTACTGTTTTATAATTTTAACTAGAGGCCCAGTGCATGAAATTCATGCAGGG